GGCAATAATTTCAGAAAGCATGCAATTTAAGTCATTATTCTATACATCTTAAATTTTCATATAGGGACATTTCAACTACATCTCAATAAAACTGGGAAAAATTAATACTAGAGGAATTAAATTCAATGGATCACACAGCTCCAGCCAAAAGGCAGCATCAGAATTGATCTTTGTCGCCACCTGCAGCCCAAAGGTCTCACTGCAGGCTCCTGACCTGAGAAGTGGTTTCTGGGGTCTGGATCCAGGACTGCTTGAAGTTTGTTCCTTTCAGAGGCAGAGGTTGGAATTTGTGTGGTGGCTAAGTAGACTCTCTGTTTTGGTAGGATCAATAGCTAGTCTTCTGAACTACTCAAATGTAAGACCCCCTGAAAATATAATAATTTTCAACTATTATAATTTAAACAAATAATTTAAACACCAGTGTTTCCCCCTGAGTATTGACTGTTCTGTCTATGCCTATTATGTTCATTTCTGTCATGTTCAGTTATGAAACACTGCACATTGTGGAAGAATAGTATCCAGGAAAATTTGGTTTCCATTAGTTTTCTTCCTCACTTCTACTTTTTCTCTCTAAATCTGAGGTTAGACATTCCTAGAACTGCCCACTGTTCTGTAACTTTGGAGTTGGTCTATGAGGTTTTGAACAGTTGTTTGAAGAGCTATGGTATGGCACAGCCATGGATGACGAGATGAAAATTTGAACCAAAAATCAAATATGAGTAGATATTGAATCCTGGCAGAATGACCAAGGACAAAATGTTCCAGGAGAGCATAAACATGTCACCCTCTGTACAAACCTATTTCAGAGCTCCTTGGACAAAAGACAAGGACGTCTACATACCAACCTCTCCCTATTCTGGTGCCTCCCAGACACACAAAGCACACACTCATGGACACACACAGCACACAAGCACACACAGGTTCATGGGTACATGTGCATATACCATATACACTGTGTTCTCCCAGTCTTGCTCACTAGAGGCACACACACGTGTGAACTAACACACACAGACACACTCAGCACTTCTCTCAGGCCTACATGGTTCTCTCCTCTGCCTGGAACAAAGGCACCTGCTCCCATTGTCTTCTCAGACGCTCACCTGGCTAGGCCAGAGTGGACTGGGCCTCCTGTCTGTGGGGCCTCACCCATGTGCTCACAATTCAGTTACACTGCAGGTACACACAAAAGGGTCAATAATGTGTTTATTTACAAAAGGGGGAGGGAATAGGAACAACCCAGGGAAAGAGAGCGGGATACAAATACCTTACGGCTAGGCTGACTGAAAACACCCGGTCATGCGGTCCTGAGAGCTGAGCGAGAGAGTGAGAGAGACGCAATTGCGCCCTAGTTATCCCCCAAATGTCCCAGAATTCCTGCTAGCTCCGCCCTTGGGTCCTCGCAGTTCTCTCCATGGTTCTGCTGGGAGTTGTAGTTTCCCATCACTGGAGTAGGGGGTAGAGTCCAGAAAGCTGGAGTAGGGGGTGGGGTCCACCAGACTCTGCAGAGTTCCTTTAGGACATCCTTCCCCTTAACAACCTCACTTCCTCTGAGCCCTTTCCTGAGCCCCTTGAAGGAACCCCCTTCCCTCCGCATCAGCCCAGGGCTGCCTGAACCAGGGAGGGGTCACCATGGTGTCGTGTTCTGATTGCCTGGTTACTAGCCTCTGGCTCAGGACCTACAAGTCCACTCTGTGATATAAAGTGGGGTAAGACCTAAAGTGTCCCCCTTCCTGGGTGTTTACACAAGAGTTGTAGTGGAATGAGAACTTTAGTATGCTCTCCAGAGAGAAAGAGGAATTTAAAAGACAAGCCTTGGGATGTGGGGGGAGAATATTTCTGGCATCTATGAACTCTTCACCTGTCAGTAGTTTCTTCCATTTCTTCTCTTAAATCCCCAGGGCCAGAAAATTCCAATTTATTTCCACCAGAACCAGAAGAACCTGTAGAATTTCAGTTCCCAGCTTCCAAGTGCTATTGGCAATGTCTTCCAGTCATTCCACAGAAAATGTCAAATGTTGACTTTTACTCCTCCCTTCTGGTCTTCCCACCTACACTGTGTGTCCTTCAAGGGCAGGTGTCTTGTCTTCTACCTCTCCTGTACCTTCTTCCTCCCCAGCACTAGCACAGAATCAGCATAGCCCCATGGCCATGGTTTACTTATATAGACAGCTTGATCTGACTCACCTTAGCTGGCCTTGTCTTGTGAAATGCACCTGTATGACCCCCATGCATGTCCAGGCCTCTGCCCACACATGGATCTTGCCCCAAGTTGGGCCAGATTGAGGTACCATGAATGAAAGAGAAGAGCTGATCATAGGAAATGAAGAAGTGGTCAGGCCAGTTTTGGAGCCAGTCTTGGAAGCTGATGCCAAGGCCATGCCAAGCAGAAAGCAGGTGGGAGAAGGGAAGGAAGGAGCAGCCGAGATGAGTTGTCACCCTGGTAGCATGTGGGCTGGTCCAATGTTGACATCAGGGGCCTGAGCTTAAAATCCAGGTCCAACTTGAAATACTTGTGGACAATTCCTCCAGGCCTCCTGGTTAAAGCCTCACCTCCTGCCTAGGACATTCCCAGCCAGGCCCCACCTGCCTGTCACGTGACTCTGCAGTGACACCTCATGGGAGCCCTGGGCCCCAGCCACACCAATGGCTCACCGTGACCCAGATGTGCAGAGAGCTCTCCTCCACACTCCCACATGCTCTCTGGCCTGGCGCACCCAGCCCAGTCTCAGAGGCTCAGACTCAATGCTCTTTCCCTCGTGAAGCCCTGTCCGGCCTTCAGTGCCCACTCCAGCTCTGAGCCACAGAGGCCCCCAACCCCCTTTCTGCTCTAACTCTCCCACTGTACCCTCAATGCCCAAGGACCAAGCGCTCCTTCAGCGCCTTCCATGAATCAGCAGCTGCTCTAGTGACACCAGCTGCACTGGTGACAAAAATGAACAGAAGACACCTTCAAAACCACCAAGTAGTCCCAGTGCGTAAACACATAGTAGTGACGTGATAGTCAGATGCTGAAGGGATCATGGGAGGCTTAGAGAGAATCCCAGCTTATATAAGAGAGCCATAAAGCCCAGCTGGCTCTCCTCTACTTAAAACCGACTCGGAGCTTCCTTTCATACTTAAATTGAAATTTCAAGGTCCCCCGTGGCCCAACCTCTGCCGGTAGGTCGGCCCCCTCCTCTGCCCCAGGCTCAGGGGACTCCAGCCACACCCTGTCTCTGGCCCCACACCCCCAGCCTCATCTTTCTGGTCGTTTGCAAACTCCAAGCACCTTTCTGTCTCAGCACCTGTGCATTTGCTCTTCCTCAGTCTACTCCAATGCAGTCCCACTTCTTCCTGCTCTTCAGCCTCACCTCAAGTGTCTCCTCCTCAAAAAGTCCAAGAATCACCTCCTGACCATGCTGTCCCATACTAACATGGACTGCCTGTCTGCTATCCTCGCCCTCTGTCACTGAAATTGTCCTTTTTTTTTTTGCTTGTTTAATGATCTCCTGTTCAGTAGGCAGCCCCAAGGAAATACGCTATCCCCAGCTCTTGGAACAAGAGTGGAGTAGAAGTATACGGAGCCCCTGCAGCTCTCACCATGCCCCAGTTCTATATGCATAAGTAAATAAATCCTTTTTAAAAAATCTTTTAAAATAAGTGGCCCTCCCTGGTGACGCAGTGGGTTAAAGTGCAGCACTAAGAAGCTAAAGCCATTTCAACGTGAATTCGATCCCCACCCCAGAGGTGACCCACATGGCGCGGCAGACCTCTCCCGACCCGCCCGCTGCTCCCCTCAGCAGTGTACTTCGTCGATCTGCCTGTTCTGCTCCCCACTCTGTCTCTGGTGAAGCCTCTCTCCGCCCCTGCACCTCTGGCCTGTACCCAGTTCTGTAAATATTTAAAAAAAAAAAAATGTGTGGAGTGACTTGGACTCACGCAGACCAGCTTTTATCTGGAGTGTCCTCATTTAGAGTCTGTGTAAGCTTCAGGAAGTTATTTCACTTCTCCTAATCCAGGTTCCTCATCTGTCAAAAGGTTCTAAATTCTTGCCTCGCTGGGTAGTTTTAAAGGTGAGGGCACCGTGATCGTAAGGCCCAGCATCACCCCAGTGAGGCCACTGTAATCGCAAGGGCTGGGGGTTCTGACACAGATGCTGGCTGTCTGTCTGTCTGTCTGAAAGAAGAGTGCCAGCAGCCCCCTACTTCTCCAAGTCCCACTGGCAGAGCTCTCTGCTCTCGCCTGGGCCCAGTCATGGTTCTCTGTGAAAGTCTGAAGGATTGGGCTCTCAGCTGAGTTTCAGCTCTGTATTCCCAGCTACAACAGGTCATCTCCGACACTGCTTCCACAGTTGCTTTAAACCCAGCACCTCCTGAGTGCACTCAGAGCCTTCCCACAGCACTCCTCACATGTTCCAATGAACGGTACTGGCAGATCACTTGAATAACTGATTTACTGGGATGTGTCTGACAGATAAATCATTAAAACTTGAAAGCAGGGCCCTCCCTGGTGGCGCAGCGGGTTAAAGCACAGCACTGAGAAGCTAAAGCCACTTCCGCATGAGTTCGATTCCCGCCTGCTCCAGAGGTGACCACATGGCGTGGCAGACCTCTCCTGACCTGCCCACTGCTCCCCTCAGCAGTGTACTTCGTCCATCTGCCTGTTCTGCTCCCCACTCTGTCTCTGGTGAAGCCTCTCACCGCCCCTGAGCCTCTGGCCTGTACCCCAGTTCTGTATGAACAAATAAATAAATCTTTAAAAAAAAAAAAAAAAAAAAAAAAAAAACTTGAGAGCAGCCCAAAGCATTGTCCATGGACAGAGGAAGAGCTGGCTTCTGCCTGGAACCTTTTGGGTATTTCTAGAAGCCTTGGGGCATGTGAACAGGAGGGGTCTGACCAGCCCTCCCAGGGCTCACTAAACTCCCAGACCCCTGACAGGAGACACTGCACTCAAGAACTTAAGGCTCTGGATTCATTTCCTGTTGCTGCTGCAACAAACGACCACAAATTTGGTGACTTAAAATAACACAAATTTATTATTTTACAGTTCTGGGCTCAGAATTCTGAAAGGGGCTTCACCAGACTTAGCCCAAGGTGTCAGTGGGCCTCTTTGTAGGGAGAATCTGTTCCTTGCCGCCTCCAGCTTCTAGAAACCATCTTCATTCTTCAGCTCTCACACCCCTCCCTCCCTCTTCAAAATTAGACCCTTGCATCTTGTGGTCTCTCTCTAACCCAGGCCGCCCTCTCGTGAGGACTCCTGGACTCGCCCAGGATAGTCGCCATCCCAAGATCCTTAACTCCCTCACATTCTATAACTTTCTTTCACCATGTAAGCTAACATATTCATAGGTTCTAGGGATTAGGATGTACACAGCTTTAGGGGTCATTATTCTGTCTACCACAATCCTTGAGCAGGGTAAGTCTGGTTTCTGGATACCAGCCTGAAACTCAGCCTATTGCTCCCTAGCGACTCTGTTCAAAGTAGAACTTAGTTCGGGCTGAGGGCTCACTCTCCTGGGCAAGTCCCACTGGCTGCTGGGGCTCAGCTGGGCCACAGAGAAACCAGCCAGGCCAAGCAGCGGCCTCCAGCCTGAAGGCTGGACCCAGGCTCCTCTGGAAGAAGGTGAAACGTGTGGCCTGCTCACCACCCTTGTACAGGTCCTCGATGTTCACATCCTGTGGGGGCAAAATGGCCAGCTGCAGGTGGGGCTGGTTGAGACTTCAGCCTTAGAAGCCTCTGGAGCTTGGCCAGTGAGGGACTTAGGGAACTGCCTTCTGTAAGTTTCAGAGGCCAAAGTTCTGGTTACAGAGCAGGGAGAGGGTCACCTCTGAACTCCAAATCTGCCTGCTCTAAATAGGTTCTGCCATCCGCCACATCAAGACAAAATATATAAGACCTTTAATGGAAAGGGACTTTAATACAATCCATGTGCAATACAGAAAAGACAAAGTATATAATTTCTAAATCAAATACCCAAAGTTACCCATCTCCTTGTGGGTAAAAATCTACCCAAAAGGGACTGGCCCAAAGCAAGGCCTGAAAGCCCACCACAAGTCTAAAGCACCTTCTGGCAGGGACCCATGGAAAAGGGTCAGACATGGCCAGACAAATCTGGGAGGTAAACGCTGCCACAGTCAACCTCCCCACAGGTCGCTCACCCACATCTGTTTCAATCAGTCTAGGGCCAAAAAACAAGAGAAAGCTTCTTCACATATCTCTCTGCTCCATGTGCATCTCTCAGGTCACCTTCTGGCTCCCTATCCTGTTTCCTTCCTCTTCAATCTCCCCTCCAGATCCATGGGGAGGTTGACTATGGCAGTATTTACCTTGATTTTGATTTTGTTCTTTTCCTCCCAGACTTGTCTGGTCATGTCTGACCCTTTTCCACTGGTCCCTGCCGGAAGGTGCTTAAGACTTGTGGCGGGTTTTCAGGCCTTGCTTTGGGCCTGAAGATTTTTACCCACGAGGGGATGGGTAACTTTGGGTATTTGATTTAGAAACAATAAACTTTGTCTTTTCTGTATTGCACACGGATTGTATTAAAGTTCCTTTCCATTACAGATCTTATATTTTGTCTTGATGCGGTGGATGGCAGAACCTATTTAGAGCAGGCAGGTTTGGGGTTCAGGGGTGTCCCTCTCCCTGTCCTGTAACAGTTGCAGAGGGAGGAAGTGGGAATCTACTAGAGAGGGACACATGGAGCTGGCTAAGAATTCAGGTAAGCTAGGGGGGAATTCGGGAAGCTAGGCCAGGTCGCGGGGTCCCCTAAAACGGGGCATGGTCTCTCACCTCCAGCTGCAAGGAAGGCCCCTTCTCTGTCTCCACACATGCCAGGCAGCGACTGCCCCCCTGGATCCCCAGAAAGATGGGGAGCTTGGTGCGGTCCAGGCCTCTGTTGGGAAGGATGCAGATCTTCTCTGGGAGGAAAGAGAAGAGAGTCAGTCAGGAGATGAGGGGACCCCAGGATGCAGGCTCCGGGGTGAGCTAAGTCTCAGATGGGGAGCTTGGTGCGGTCCAGGCCTCTGTTGGGAAGGATGCAGATCTTCTCTGGGAGGAAAGAGAATAGAGTCAGTCAGGAGATGAGGGGACCCCAGGATGTAGGCTCTGGGGTGAGCTAAGTCTCAGACAGGAAGGAATAGACTCTACACACCTACTCTGGAACCTGCATGACATGAGGACTTCAGGGGGTCTAAGACCCTTCAGGCCATGATCCCCTCACTAAAAGAGGTGCTCTGCAGAAGGGAAGGGAGAACGGAAGTCCCGCAGTGGGTGGAGTAAGGGAAAGTCCCAAGGTGCTCACCTGCACAGCAGTTGTCTACATCAGGATCGCCCACCAGGAGCTGGCCATCTCTCAAGTACAGAGCCTTCTGGTCTGCATCCTTAATTCTGGAACAGAATGGCGGCCCCCCTTCAGGCACCACGGAGTCCCCAAGGTCTTCCAGCCCCATCCTCTGAATTGCCACACTAAGTATTTGGGGGTTCATTCTTTGACAGGTCAGACTCTTTACCAAAAGCAGGTGACGATGCGGTCGGTCTTAAGGCAATGGTAGTCTCCTGGGGCTCACAGTTTCCAGAGGCTGCAGACCTCCCTTTATCTGTCAGGCCCGGGGCAGAGGGGGGACCCAGCACCTTGCCACAGAAGGGTAAAAAGGATTTTCCTGACTTTGTGAACCCTTAACCCTGCCCTTGCTGGGAAACTTCCTCATAGGAGTCAGTTGTCTCTGGGATATAGTCAGCTTTACCCCGATTTGCTGGGATTGCCCCAATTTTTCATAGAAGCTTATTCTCTTCGGCCAAAGGATTAATGGGGTGTATAATAAGAGTGTCTTGTTTTCAGATATTCTAAAGGCTGTTGATAAGAAGAAAAGCATGCTATGTGATGTAAGTGTGCCGCTGTGGCCACACCGCTGCAGGCGAAAGGTGCCCTGGCACGGTGAGCCATGTTCTGGCTGCCAGATTTACAAGGTCAGCAGAGCCCCGATGACAGTCATTTGGGGTTGGCTGTGACTTTAATGTTTTAATGAGCATTAAGGCTAAACACCTGTGCAGGGAAGAGGCCGTGGTGAGCACGTGTGCAAGATCAAAGTCATGAGGTGATTAACTCAGTCGCCTGGCTGGTTCCAAAGATGCCCGTCAGCCATTCTCAGAGCCTGTAGCGTCCCGGCCACCTCTGAGCCAAAGCCACCTCCAGGAGGTTCTTCTCTTTTAATAACTGGTGATAATACCTTTAGCTAGTGAATGTATATGTTAACACAGGTTCTCCTGTCCAATAAAAGTGAAGCTCTGAAGTGCGTGGGGTTGCTAACCACCATTGACCCTTGAACCTGGATGCCCAGAACCTGGCAAGAATGCATGTGCCAGCAACATTCTTTTGGGAGCTGAGGCCCAAGCTAGAGCCCCCGAAGTGCTGCCATCTGTTTTGCAGGTGTGTGCCTGGGGCTCCTGGTCCCGCCTTCCCAGTCACCTTAAGCTCCTGGAGGCCCACCTGGCCCCTGCATCCAGGACAAGACAGACCCAGAAGCAACAGAGGACATGCATCCCAGCTTCATCTCATTCCTCCAAGGGCTCAAGGTCATTTATAGCAACAATCACTGACAATAAAGTGGTAAGTAGAGACTTAAATGCCAAATGAGGTCAGATGCAAGAGTTGGAATCTTAGACTGGGAGCACAGGCCACGGAGGTCACGGAGACTCAAAACTGTCTGAGATTAGAGTAGAAGATGGGTCAGTGTGGGGAACGTGGAGTCTGAGTGCAGGCTCTGTATGACATCAGGTCTTTTATTCAACCTCTTTGACCTCAGTTCCATATCTAGAAAACGGGCTTAGTTAATGCACCCCTGGTGCATTTCCCAGGGTGAAGGCCGGGCAGTCTATGCCTGGCTTCTTGCAGCTGCTCACATCGCTATCCTGATGATGATTAAGCTTAATGATGGGGCACTAGAGATTTCCAAGATGAGAATGAGCCTCATCCCTCTGACTCAGCTTCTTTCCTTTTTCCCAAGTCATCCCCAGGCCCACTAGTTAGGAAAGGGAGGGGTCCAAAAACTTACATGTAGTATCTTGCCATAGGGAGGGAGCACATTCCTACAGTTGGGAGCGATTGAACGGTCCTTGCTGAGGGGAAGGAGAGGAGGGATATTAATGAAGGTGGTGGGTGGAGCAGGAAGGCAGAGGCCTCAGGCCCCAATCACTCAATCACAGGGTGGAAAGGTCCAGGTAGGAGCTTATCCGTAACTAACCTCCCCTAGTCCAGCAAGCTCAGCTTCTCCCTCATTTGGGGCCACCTGGGAGCAAGTCTGACAGGGGTGTGAGGCTGTGACCTGCATACTGGCACGAGCCCTGGAAAACCTGAGAACAGGTTCCCCCAAATCGTCCAGCTGAGGACTTCCCAGGGCTGAAACTGGAGTGAGGTGTGCACCAGCCTTACAGTTTGAAGATGAGCTGGCTCAAAACCCATCCCACTTCCGGAATCACCACACTCAGGGTGTTAGGACTCAGAAGGTCCCCTGAAGGAAGAAAGCATCATTCTTAGGGTCTGTATCACTTTGCCAAGACTGACAGACATTTGGGGGAAGTGGGTGAGGATGGCGAGGTGGCTTTTAGCACTGACTCAGCCATTCGGTCACTGTGGAAAGGTCATTTCCTATCCCTGGGCTTTGTGGTGAGACTTTAAATGCTGGTGAGCACGAAGCATAACTGGAGTGTGAATTCTGGAGGGATGCTGGAGACACAAATCAAAGATTTCAAGTACTCCATGCATTTCATAGGAATAATCAAGGGCAATGCTGGAGTTCCCAAATGTGCAGTTATAACGATGTGCAGTGAGCCATATTTATGATAGTGAGAAGTTGGAAATAACCTAGATGCCCACTAATAAGCAGCTGGTTAGAAAAATAAGACAAATTTAAATATTATAAGTAAGACAAGATGTACACATAGAGATGGTGTAGTAGAGGAATGTTTTATGGCATAAAAGTCTTCAAAATAAATTAAATTTTAAAATGCAGGTCATATATAATGCGCCCATTATGGCTCCATTTAAATGCGCATCTACCAGGGCCACACATCCAGGGGAGGAAAGAGGGCCAGCAGTGTCACAGCACCAACTGGTGGCTGACAGATTTCAAGGGATGTTTTGGTGACAGCGCTTACATTTTTCTTACACTGCCATAAATTTCCTCTGTAGTGTGAAGTTTTCACTTTTTTTTAATGACACGTTTAGTTGAAGTCATTGGCACCGAAATGTGCCTGCCCATAATTCACATGGGAGACTCTTTATAGGTAGTTTCCTGGGCTGGAGTTTCTAACTCTGCAGGACTTGAAGTAAGTCAGTGACCACCGGGCTTGGAAGCTGGCAGAGAGCTCAGTTCTTCCCACTCTCTAATGAACACATAAATCACCTTCAGCGCCTACTAAAATGCAGATTCTTGTTCCTTCCATCTGAGCTGGGTTTGGAGACTGCATTTCAAATATGCAACCAAGTAAAGTTAAAGCTGCTAGTCCCTGGACCACCTTTTGAGAAGCAAAGGGCTAGATAGACTGACAGACACATGGCTCAGTGCAAGCCCACTGTGCTGTGCTTTCTCACTGCCAAACTACCAGGCCTCCTTTGAATATGGGCATCCCAGTAGCTATGTGAAGGTGTTTTTGGGGCAGACAGCAGAGGGCCCTGGTGAAGCTGGCCAGGCTGACAGATGATGGCTCCTGCTCTTGGTCAGTGTTAGCCCAAAGCAGAAATTCAGTGATGGCCCAGGCTAGATGGGCCCCAAGGCATCCCCATGGCCTCCAGTTCCATTCCAGCCCAAATCCCAGCATCTCAGGAGACACCCATGGTAAGCACTCCCCTTCTGGACTCTGGCTAGATCATGACAGCATGAGTAGGTGAGCCTTCAGCCCTGCGGCTAAGTGTCTGTCCAGGCTCCTTCCCAAGAGCCACCTATTCCGTCTCCAAAGTTTTGCTGTCCTATTGTCAGGGAACTGTCCTATCACTGCATCTTGGCCTATCCCCCTCCTGAAACACTGGATCACCTGGATCAGTCTATACCTCCAGATAGCCCAGGACACACCCATCTTACCCTCTCCTTGTTCTCCTTTACTGACCTACCAACATGGAATCTGTTTACTCTGAGACCACTTTTAACTACTCGAGAGCCAAATCCAATAACTCTTTTCTATTTTCTCTGATATTTGACTGCCTCCTCAGAATCCTTGATATTGATCCCCTTCACATCTCTCTATTCTCTCTTCTAGGTATGTTGTAGCTCTCCTTTCATTTTTATTTGGGCAGACTGTCTGTGAGATTGGAGTCACAAGTCAAAGTCCTAAGTACTTCTCTTATATACCCTTGGAGTTTCAATTTATTCATTTCTACACCAGCAGTGACATCTCAGTCTCCCAAGCCCAGACTAACCATGCTACTTCATCTCTAGTAGTCCACAAGACAACCCACTTGAATATCCTGCCGTCACACCAGGTCAACTATGTCTCAGGTTAAACTGAACTTCTCCACCCCCAACACATTCATTCCTCCTAATTTCGTTTCTCTCACTGCCATAATCTTCTTTTACTCAGTGATATTCAAAGCCTGGGAGATGGTGACAATCCCTCCCATCTTTTCTGTCAGATTTATCAATAAGTACCAATAAATTATTCTTTTAAAATATTACTTTGTTTTCTTAGTAGGACTAGAATTTCTGGTTTTATCTCCTTGAATCCAGTTCAAATTATGTGCAGTAACTGGACTCACAGAATCTTAGCACTATTTTACCACAGCCCTGTCCAGCTCTACACTATATAGCAGCTGCCCATTTCACCCCCCGCCAGCGCCCCATTTACTTGACGAGTACATCATACTTCTCCATGGGCACATACCTTCTATTGTGTCTTCTTACTGGACATATTCAGAGTGTCTTTGGCTTCCCTGCCTCAAAGCCATCCCCTCATCTCTGCCCATTCAGACCTTTTAGTCACTAGAACACTGGACATAGTATCATTAGCTGTACGTTGAGCATCTAGTTCTGCCAAAGTAATTATCAGCTCAGTTACTGCTCAGACATACAAAGCATATCACTTAACTGACAATCCTGCATCTATAAAGTCATAAATGTAGAGTCTGTGGTTATTAAAATTCTTTCCATATCAAGCTATCTGATTCAGTGACTCAGAGTTTAATGAATCTTTCCCTTATTGCTGGAACCCTACTCTGAACTATTAAATTTCTCCATATTGTTTATTGTGATATATTTAGATGTTTGTCTGTCTCCCTCATAAGACATAGTAAGATCTGGAAGCCATGAAACATAGTCTGTAGCTCGCTGCAACCTCCCTAACACACACTGGTGATTACAGAAAGAGAAACACATGACCAGAATGGGTTCTAAACCTGGCTCTAATACCAGTCTGATTTGCCATCTTGAAAAGTTCCCCTTTGCCTCGGACCTCCAATTCTTTGCCATAGAAATGAGAGGCTAGGCAATGTCATTACTTTTCAAAACTAAGTTTCACAATGAAATTCTACACAGAAACTTAATGAAAGTAAAATGGATAAAAGGGATCCACTTTTGCTAAAGCCAGGGGTGGTGTAAGCATTTGCTTAACCACTGAAGTAGGCAGCAGAGCATCTCTGAAGGACCCGCAGACACTGTTGAATACTTCTGGCCTACATGACTTCCTCTGAAATTGTTTTCTAAAATCTATTGCGTGTCCATACCCAAAAATAAAAGAGTGGATCGAGAAAATGTATACACAAAGGAACATTACTCAGCAATCAAAAAGGTAAACTAATGCTATTTGTGGCAAAATGGATGGATATGGGAGGGATCATGCTAAGTGAAATAAATCAGAAGGAAAAGGTAAATACCAGATGGTGTCCCTTGTACATGGAATATAGAGAAACCAAACCAAGGATCAGATGAACAGAGATTTAAAAACTAACCCTTAAAAGGTGACTATAGAATTGAAGCATGCAGAGGGGAGAAGGAGTGAGAACAAAGAGGGAAGGAAGTATAATGGACTATATGATGGACTTGGGTAATTTGGTGGTGGGTGCACTACTGTGCAATACCTGAGGGGGGTCCCTATAATTTCAAAATATCAACAATAAGCCAATATTACCTCAATTAAAAAATTAATTTTTAAAAATTATCTGATTCTATTTAAAAATCTGGACTTCACCTATACTCTCTCCATATTTCATTTATGTGCCACTAGATGTATCTAGTATTCCACTGTATCTTGTGGAGGGGTTGTCTTCTATCTAGAAAACTTGCCAGGAAGATTTAAGTAAAGGGAATCTCAGAGATATTAAGAAAAAGAAGAAGAGAGAGAATATTGCCTTCCCACCACTGACCTGCAGATCCTGGGCACTGGAACCTCCAAATGATTTCTCCAGGGCATCTGCACTGAGTTTATATCATCTGGCCAGGGTGGGTCAGGCCTGCAGCAATCTTTGTAATTGGCTCCAGTATGGGGAAGAGCCTTGGGATTTCACAATGTTTTCAGCACAGTATGGATAATAAGAAGGCGGAGGCATTAATGAGTGTTTATTGAAGGGAGACAGAATCACCCATAAAGCCTTGGCAGAAGCCTCGCTGGGCCCCTTTCCATAGCTACTATCATTGACATTTTAATGGTGGTTTGGGCAGGCAGATAAACACAGCTGGGGGCAGATGTCCTCCTATTACCTTAACCTTTCTCGTGGTGCACCATGGGGCTCATCACCTGGAGAGGTGGAGGAGGCAAGAGCAAGTGTGTCTGAGGGAGTCTAAGGACAGAACAGCTGCTGAAGTCTGACGCCAGGCTGCAGGCAACAAGGCAGGTAAGAGTAGGGACCAAAAGCCCTGTCTGGAAGGCTGAGAGGGAAGTTTCTGCTTTTCAACAGATCTGCTAGCTGCCATCAGCTTGACCAGCAGTATGGCCTTAGATCCATACTGGGACTGGGCAGACCTCATGTCTGCTGGACTAATAGGGTACATGACTTAATGTGAGCAGAGAAAGGGTTAAAAAATACTCAAGCCTATAATAATTTTTAACATTATTTAAATTTAGTCCATCAATCCACCCTTCCATCTGTCCATCTGTCCATCCATCCATCCATCCACCCTCCCACCTAATTCTCTCCCAGGTTATTAGCAAAATTCCACAGAAATCTTAGGGAGGAAGTGAGAGAAGACATCCACTCATGAACAGCTAAGAAGTGAAAATAGATGGGCAGGGATAGGACCATAGATCTGTTACTTAAGGCCAGTGGTCATTCTTCGTATTCTATCCATCTCTTGTCCTTCCACAGTAGGCCAGTGCATGGGGTTTGCTGAATATTCACACTGCGGTGAGATAAGGTCATACAATCCATGATCCCTGTTGTTAAATAGCTTTACAGGCCAGCTGGGGAGCTAAGTAATAAACTTTTGACAAGATAATTAAAACCAGACTTTCTAACTTGTGGGCCAAGGGGATATTGGAGATAATGCAGGTGAAGAATCTCCTTGAATAAAAAATGAATAAATCCCTAAAATTGAAAGGACCTTAGTCATGACTGCATGTGCTCCTCCATGGAGAGAATTCTGTGCCATGGCATCCCTGAGAAATAGTCAGGCTCTGCCTTAGTGTCTCCAGATTCAAACACCTCACCACCCTTGAACAAACCCTAACAGTGTTTATGGTTCTTGCGGTTACCATTTTGTGGTCACACTTAATTTCCACTCACCAGTTCTGTTTATACTTTCTGGAACCACCCAAAACTATGTATTCTTTACTAGGCAGGTGAGGGAGTGCTTGAAGGAGGCTCTATTTCTTCAGGAAAACCACCCTCAGTTCCTTGAGTAGCCCTCAATTTCTAAATACAGGCACCAATTCCACAGTGTGAGTGATGTACCTACATTAGAAACAGGCCCAGGCTAGGGATTATATTGAAAGAGCAGACATATAAAACTGTGAGATCTTTCTCACTTAAACAGTCAAGACATCAGGACCCCTAACCACCGCCTTCCTACTGGTAATATTTCGTATTCCTCCCTTTTCTGTTGATTAATGTTAACTCACCTCTGCTAAAACCTTTTTGAGCTCTATTTCCCCACAACTGATGAAACAGTAACTGCAGGCTGGCTATTGCTTCAAGAATGGGGTGGAATTTCAAATGTTCCCAAAGGGTGGGCCTATTTCAATGGGTGGAGGAGAAAGAATATTCTGGGTGAAGAAATAGTTTCCATTTCTACACTCATTGGATTCCAATTATTTGCCAAACAGTATGCTCAGTGCTTAGAAACAAACCGATGCAGCCCTCACCTTGAGGTTAGGACACTCAATCCCCAGTCAATTTACCACAATGCAATTTACCACAGCACATGAGTCAATTTACCACAGCATGTAAGTATGTGCCAGACACTGTCAAACAGGTGACCAAGGGCCTCAGCTCAGCAAAGTCTTCTCGGAAGAGGTGATATCTTGGCAAAGAAGAAGCATGAAAATTCGACAAGCAAAGGGAGAAATACGAGACTTTGGCTGGATCAGAAGGCAAAGTGATACGAACTGTGTCTATAGAACTAGCCTGGACCCTGGAGCCTGGAGCGTGTTTTCTCCACAGAGTGGCTTGTGGTAGAAATGCTGGTGTCTGTGCGCTTCAGCTGCATCTGGCTGGAACTGCCGAGGCCCACGGGCAGCCCCTTCTGGTCTGGACACCTTCTTGTTTGTCCCTCAGCAGGATGTAGACCTGCCAAGCTGGCCTGACTGGTGAGGTATATAGGTGGACTACATGGAGCTCAGATTTGGGCCCCTCCTCTGGCTTCTCTTCTCATCCCTCAGGGCTAAGAGACCTTAGGGTCACAATCCCTGGTATGAATGAGGGGAGCTGCAATGGCAGCAAGGATCTAGCCTTTGTGGGAAGAAAAAAAAAACATTCAACAAATTTAGTCTGATGCCCTTTAAATGGAATATTTGCAAAAATGAAAGGACAGATGTTCATTTGGGGAAGGAAAATAAAAATATCAGAGGATTATTGTAATCATAATAAAATAAATGCATTTATTTCTCTTTACTCGTGTGTTAGTTATCTATTGCAACATAACAAATAACCTGTGGGGCAACAGCCCTAGGCGGTGCTGGTCAGTCTCTCATTAGGTTGCAGTAGAGCTGTGACCAGCCCACATCATCTGAAGCCTGACTGGGCCTGGAGAAGCTGCTTCCCAAGATACTCACATGCTTGCTGGCAAAAAATGTTCATTTTTCGTCACTACTGAGCTGCTCACAACAAAGCAGAGAGAGTGAACAAAGAGGTACGGGCAAGCTGAGATCAAAATAGAAGCTGAATGTCTTTTATAAGGTGACTTCTGAAGTGGCATAACACTTACGCCACAATCTGTGGGTCACAGAGACTTGTGTTATGCTGTGGGGGAGGGTCGAGTTGTTGCCACCTGCATTGTTTTCTTATAGTTGCCATATCAATCACCACATACTTGGTGGCTTAAAACAGCAGAAATGTGCTCTCTCAAAAGCTCAGGAGACAAGGTTATGCTCCCTCCAAAGGGGCTGGGGAGGAGGTCTTCCCTGTGTCTTTGTAGCTTCTGCTGGTTGCTGCAATCATTCTTTGTCTTATTGCCACGCAACTCCAGGCTCTGCTCCATCCTTACACTCACCCTCTTCCCCTCTTCTCTCTGTGTCTGCGTCCTCTTCTTACAGTCACAGGACACCAGTCACACTGGACTCAGGGTCCATAGTAGTCCAGCATGACCTCTTCTGAAAATTTGCTTCTGCAAAGACCTTATCTCCAAATGATGCCATAGCCTAGGTTCCCAGAAGGACATGAATTGGGGTGGGGGGGGCGGCATTATTCAACCAATATAGCAGCCATATTGGAGACTGGATTGCACACCATCCATCTTGGGGAGGCTTTGACCTCTCTGGGTGGAGCACAGGGGTTTTTCCTGCAAGTTGCTTCCACAGGAGATTCCAACTGTGCTAACTCATGCACTCCTTCACAGATTCCTGGGATCTGTTTTCTGACTTCTGCTTTCTCCAACCAGCAAGCAGAATTCAATTCAATAAAATTTCACTCTGGGAAAGTGGAAGCTGAGAACAATCATAAACAATGTCCACTCTGCTACCTCCAAGTTATTTTATCTTATTTCTACAATCCATCTTCACGTAGAAAAATTAGAGAACACAGAAAAAGGAAAACCACAAAAAGAAAAATGACCTATAACACCACCACCTTGCCATTTCTATAGTAGAAGTAAACATCAGACAATTTTTCCTAGGCAGAACTATTTAGATAAATATTTTTTAAATTAAAATGAAATTACAAGCTATGCTGCTTTATAACTTGCTCTTTTCTCACACAGATCATGAGCAGCTTTCCATCTGAGTGGAGGTGAACGGCTTGGATTCATTGTATCTCAGATCTCGAAATACCTAGCATATCCTGTCCATCCTGTGTCTTCTGAACTGGAGCTCTCTTCTCTAACATGGCCATGAAGAAGAAAGTAAGAAAAGCAGCCTGTGACAGCAATGTGACTAAATACAAGGGCTCGGCTCCCTAGAGCTGTGACCACACTCCTCTCGTGCACAGCAGGGATGACAAAACTTCCCGTGAGTGGTTGGTGGCCCTCATAGGTCAACTGGAGACAAGCTGGCCTGTGGGCTCAGGGATGCTGGGGAAGCCACCTTGAAAGATTCCCATGTTCTGCCTCACCGCCAGTCCTCAGCAATCTTATGTGACTCCCAGTTTATCTGGAGTGCTTGCAGCAAGGGTCCACATCAGTAGCACCATAAAACAGCAATGGAAATTGTGGACTGAGCCTCAGATTTCAGAAGGATTCACCCAAACTGGGAAGAGAGGGAGAGCAGCTGTGTGCCCAGGGAGTGACAGTCAGGGACCCTGGGCAGGGAGTTCTGGGGGCGCACGCTCCCTAGTCACACTGCTGGAAATAGAAGTCCGTGATGGGGTCGTCCCAGCCGGCATCCTCAGGGAGCTGGGTGAGTCTGAGCGGTTGGTCTGCCTCAGACACCGTGCAAAGGAACCAGCCCGGGTAGGCAGCAGACTCGAAGCTGGAGGTGAGCCCGGTGTCCCGCCGGTAGAAAGTGAAGCTCTTGGATTCCTTGGCACCAAGGTAGAGCTCCATGATGTTCACTGGCTGAGAGCAGAGGGCACAACAGGTGAGAGGCAGGAAAGGGGCAGCAAGGAGCCTGGGCTGAGGGCACTGCGGTCAGCAGAGACCCACGTGGACACAGGACACAAGGCTTCCAGGGGTCAGTGTCCATTGTCAGGCTGTGAGGATGCCCCGCCAGCACTCACCTCCAGTTTCAGAGTGGGCTCCTGCTCCATCGCACACGACAGGCACTGGCTCCCTCCCTGGACACCCAGGATGACTGGAG